TTTATACCATGGAGAATGTATATTGTCGCATATAATCATGGACATATAATATACATGTAACTAAACCATGGACGTAGGAAATATTTGGATGGAGCTGGACTTTCTACCCTACCCGTATCAGACTACAGATTGAGATTGAGATTAGATTGAAATTTGATTTTTGACATTTTCCATTTTCGAGATTCAAAGTTTGAAATTCTCGAAATTCCAATTCTTGGAAATTCTGAAAAATTCTTGGAATTTAGATAGTGCCACCTCTTTGCTGATCATGTTCTCCTGATACTTTGTCAATTTTCGGGATTCGCGATTTGAAGTTTGAAATTCTTGGAAATTCAGATATAATATTGCCACCTCTTTGCTGATCATGTTCTCCTGATACTTGGTCAGTTTTCGGGGATTTTCGCTATTCGTAATCTGAAATTCTCAGAATTTTAATTCTTGGAAATTTTGATAAATTCTTGGATATATATACAGGGTGTCTCAGTAAAAAAATTGAGAGTAACGCTTGAAGTCTCTTCATTTTTATTTTAAACGATCTGCGATGATTGCGTAGCGCGTTTAATTCAGCGTTAATAATTCTTCCAAATGGCTTGAACGTGGATACCATCGCAATTCAGGCCGCGTTATCTCGCTTCTGTTTTCTCGCCGATGAAGTCAAGTTGTAACAAGACAAGGGAGGCATGTCCGTTTCACTCAACACCTGTAAACAATTTGGTAAACGCTCATGATAACGCGTGGTGAACCTCGTTCCGTTTATCAGTCCCTCCCTAACGAATCGTGTTATGCCGAGACTGGCAATCCGTTCGGCTGTTTGGGTACTGACGCTCCTCTTACGCTTCGCCGTGACGGAAAGTAAAACGTGTCCAGGTATCTATCTCTACGGTTATCAGAAACTTCTTCATCCGTTCTTCCGCAAATGCACTTGCGAAGGCGACAGATGTATCGGAACGGCCGACGAATGAGCCTCTCAAAAGCCAAACTGCTCGACCAAATTTTTGGCAAATCTCTTGATTTTTGCGTACGATTAGTTTATTCCCAAGTTCCGCTTGGGACGTGGAGTGAACAGCACGTCTTCTAACCTAGAAGATAAAATAATTAGTTTGTTCCTTCATCGATTTTCTGAAATTTGTATTTCATCAAGTGGAGTCGGTTTCATTTCTAATCCCGGTTTTCACCAACGTCGTTTAACTTTAACTATCATCCAAACGCGACATTCAATCTATTTTTGCCAGAGCAAAATATTCGTCTCCTGGATCTTCAAGAGGACGGACTGGCGCATAGTTCTTCCAGAAGCTTTTGGAGGCAAAGACCATCTCGTAAAAACAAATCATTTGAAAGTATCGGAGCAGAATTCCCGAGCGAGTTCTTGCCACTTCCAGCAACAAGAAATATAGATCCCGAACAAGGATACAAAAACGTTACCGTAAACAGCAGAACTTTGATGGATTACAGCGGTCCAGATATAACGGAGGATCTCGGCGAAACGAGCGATCGGGATCTCGCGAGCCACGTTCGCGTCAAGAGAAACGAGCCGGTCGTTCGCCATCGGTCCAACTACTTGGCAAAGTTGGTCGATTCGCTTCCACGAAATTCCTGGCGCAGGACTAATGTGACTGGCGCGTTCGGCGACTCGACGTTCGAGGGATCACGTTCGGATCGTAAGGATCGACCTGGTACCGATCAGGGCACCGGCGCCTCGCGCCCGCGACGTAAGCGCGGGGTCCTGTCGAAAGGCGGGTATCGCAAGAAACGCGTCAAGGGAAAAGCCGGGCACTCGAGGTATCGTGTCGAAACGAAGCATGATGCCCACCAGCCCGCCAAGAAAAAGACGCAAAAGAGCGGTCCAAGCCCGAGTACGTTCTTGCCGTTTCAAATGTACATTACAAGTCGCATCTGCTTTACTAAATATCCCACACAGCAAAATATATCTGAGACTTAAGTCAGATGTATCTCAGATAAAATAAGCATGACTATTTAGAGTCTGGAGGACATCTCTCAGACATCAAGCGATATCTGAATAGTTTTTGTATCACATATTGTAATATTTAGATATCTCCAAGATAGCTTTGTGACACTTTTTGCTGTGGGATCATTAGATTTTCAAAGGACGTTGTAAGAAACGATATTTTTATGAATCGAATACAATTCGGATGGCAAAACGTAAAGAAAAAAAGCTTGTTGTTACCTAGATCCTTATCCTATTCTTATTTTTCAAATCTGGAAAATAGACCTGAAATTTTTATGATAAGCATACTATAAAATATTGTGCTACTAGGGACAGCGGGCAACATCGCGAATGTATAAATACTGTAGGAAGATCAACTTTTAGTTTCTCAGAATAAACCTCTTCTTACTTGTGACTCACTTGTGACTCATTTGCAGGAGAAGAAAGTAAGAATACTCGAGACATCGGAATGCCTGCCGGAACGGTTGACGAGTCCAGGGTAGATAAAAGGGAATCCGGAAATTGCGATTTAAAAACTGACCCCGCCAACATCGAGAAAGTAGGAGACTTAATTAGCCAGAAGGAAAAGGCGTCATTAACGAACAACACAAGTCTCGCTGAACAGCAAAAGGAGAACACCCTTGCGTTACCCTTCGTGCACACTGGAAGAGCGCAATTGCGCGTCCGCATCGAGCAATTCCCCGCGAACGAGTCGTCGCTTATCAGTCACGATCAGCGGACGGATCGTTTTATCGAGACCAGCCCTTGTTCGATCACGCTACCGAGATACAATGCGAGCGACGAAATTCTCAACGTCACGAATCTCGAGCTCGAGCCGAATTTCAACTCCATCGGCGGAAGGATGGCCGACAATTTTACGGTGGAGATGATGCTGAAGAAGCTGGATCGAAGCAACGCGTCTATCCTGGAAACAAGCGATCCTGAAAACGCGTCGTCCTGTAACGCGGAATCCCGTCCGGTTAAATCGAACGCGCCGGGAATCGAGGACGACCGAAACACGGAAGATGGAAACTACGATCGCACGAGTGAGACGTCTGCGGGATCCGCGGACGAGAAGTCGCGCGCCAAGAGAAATCAGGAAATTGCATCCGAGCGCTATCTACGAAGTGATAAGAGCGCGAGAGTGCCGAGACCTTTCGAAGACGCCGAACAAGGGACATCGATCGGAGACGCGAAGCGCGGGAAGACAGGATACAAAAGGATTCGCGGTAATCGCGCTGTGAGATCGATCGAAGAAATTAAGGAACTTGCTAAAAAACTGATCGTCAAGGTGAGGGACCGTGCGACCAGGAATCGCTTCTCCTCGCAGACTATTTTAATTTCGCATCATTATAATTATGTATCCTGTAATATTTACGCACCAACAATCGCCCACTCTCAAGTCCATATTTAATTTTACATTTTGTCTTTTCAGTCATCATCCTTTAGTTCAATTTTTTCTTTATTTTAATCTCTGACGAAAATAAAAATCGGAACGTAAACCAAATGTACGCTTCTAGGAAGCGTAAATTGAAAAAAGGCAAGTTACTTCTTGAAACGTTTCTTTTACGCTTCCTAGAAGCTTAATTTATGCTGCTATCGTTCTTTACTTATATTTGGTTTCGATTTTTATTCACAGGAATTTACCCTTTTCTTTCTCGTTTTCAGATAAACAAGTTGCAAGTATACGTGACTAGCCGCAATGAGATTCTACACGCGAGGGATTCCTGTTTCGGTGAAGACGCAGGTCACGTGGCAGACGAGGAGAAACCGAGCAACTCCCTGGAGAAGGACATCTCAAACTCGGCGTCCAGGATCGCCAAGAAGGTCGACAATCGCCAACGCTTGACGAAAGGGGTGGCTTTAGCAGGAAAAAGAGCATCCCAGATGCGTTCCAGCGGCTCGAGATTTGCGCGGGGAGAGTATCGGACGAGGAGGAGATTGCGTCGCAAGTGGGGCAGGTGGATGGATTGGAGCAGCTGTAGCGTCACCTGCGGCAAGGGTCGACAGATCAGGTGGCGGCATTGCCTGCATGATTGCAACGACGCGGAAACCGAGATGGAAGAGAAAGCGTGCCAATTGCCGGCCTGTCCACCGGGCAAGTTCCTCGGAATATTCTGAAAGACTCCTCCTTCAGCGATCGAATTTTCTGCAACGTACCAGAGACACTGTCGACATGATAATTATTAAAAAAAAAAAAACGTCACGTGATAAAGCAATAGCAATCAGACGTGGTACTACAATCCCTCGGTTGGTCCAATCGCATAGAATCGCTTGTCGATATAGCTGCGTCTTGAGTAAACAAAAATATCGAGCTCGCTCCTCGATAAGGAAAGTTCGCGAAGTAACTAAATTCTTTGACATCATTTTATTCTGCTCTCTTCTTTCTGTGGGTAACAGTTCTCGTACAAAGATTCTTATGACTTCGGATCACGCGCTTACGTTTTACGCTATGTAGGAACTTTCAAGGTCGCAGAGATGCAATTAATCGAGATCGATGACGATTCATCCCCGGGAAGATAATTTGAAGGATGAGATTCTTGAAATTCGCGCGTTATCGTATGAAACTTTTTACAGCCTCGTGAACCTTCCTTGCTTATCAATTTATGCACAACACCGTTGTATTTCGCATAATTGTGTAACAAATCGTTTGATGTATATTTCTCATCGTCTCATTATCAAATACATAATATATTATACAGGTTTTTAAACAATACATCCTTCGCCTTCAGTATTCACAAATAACGAGGGCGTTCATTGCTTAAAGAGCAAGTCTGTCGCAGCTAGATTATCGTATTCATTGTCACAGAGTCACACGAGATACGATTGTCCGCCTTTTATTTAATAATCGTGTCAGAAAATGTTAACGAGCGTATACTTTCCGTGCAAGTAGATACGAATCTGTACAATGCTTCTTTCCTCTCTTTCACTAATCAAATGGCGCAGGATTTGGCTCTATATCAGCAATCCGCACACTTTTGATGTAATAAAATCTGTTATCGTACAATATTTATAAAGTTTTCTACAATACATTTTCTCTTACGTTCGTGTTACTGTCATACTGACATAGAAAATGTTAATAAAATTCGATCGACCATTTCACAATTTTTATCTTACCAGTTTAGGCGTAATAACCGTAAGAAACCAAGTGTATTGTGAGCAACGTATAGTTCACTTTTAATTAAGCTAGATGACATGATAGTACTCTCTATAAGGAATTATATGTCAAAAAGATATTCAACGAGTGCAAATGTATAATGTTTTTATGCGATAAATTTTATTACAATTGGAACAGTATCATGTCGTTAGTGTACGTCTTCACTCAACAACAGTTCAACATATTTTTCTTTTTCTTGGACACTTACACAAGATGTCTATCGAGATTGTGAGAATTTTGGATGTCAATTATCCAGCAGGTTTGTCTACAAACGATCTGTGAAATATTCTCATGCATGGCACATTTCTAAATACTTGTTTCAAACAAAATGCGCCTTATCAGTATCTAATTCACATTTTGATGCTGCGTCTCACTCTCGATTAATAAAAAAAATGCTACAAAATAACGATACACGTTATAGTGCCGAAAAGTTGTACAATCGAACAATCGTGAAGTGAATTAAGCGAATGAGAAAGAACATGTCAATGTAACGTACTTTGAACTGTTTAATATTAGACTTTCCTATTCGGGAGAACGTTACATATACAAATTGATCACAATGATAAAACGCACCTATTCACGCATACATACAAATTACAAATGCTCCTACACTCATGCATCGTTACGTAATCAACGGTCGCAAGCCGTACGCATTGTTACAATTCTGTCCTAGATTAAAAGGACGTAAATCAGTCGTCATTGTAAATTGTAATTTTACCTATCACTCGACTACTTAAATCGTGAACGCTATGCTTGACAACTTTGAGCTTTGTTTTAACATCGTCAACCTATCTGTAATTGCAACTATCCGGTAGAACTGATATACGTGTATGTCGGTTTGCGGTCAAATGTTCACAGTTTGTTGTACATTTTTGGCTTATCTTTACAAGAACTAGTCACTCGTATGGAAGAACCAAGGCGCATCTTGTGATATTGTATATATATATATATATCTTGTGATATATATGCATGTATATACATACATACATATATTTATATATACACACATACATAAAGTACAAAGTTCGTTTTATATATATATAAAACCGCAGTGACTTTGTCATGATCTATGAGATCAAAATACATCACTATTAAAATAGTATATTTCTTGCTTGTTCGACTTGGTTGTTCTCATCGGAGGAACAATAAGCCAGTATGTCTATTTGCTGCTCTTCACCTCCGGCCAGCACTCGCACATCTCGATCCGCATCCACACGCATTTTCGTGAGTATTCTTTCCACTTCTTCCATCGCTTCCATGCCCAAATTGTCCACTAAAAATAAAAAAAAAAGATGAAATAAAATACAATATGGCGAACCAGCGCGTTATATTACAACAATAATATGGCACTTACAACCCATCGCAATCACATCCGTTGCTATAGTTCTCGCCACGGCTAATCTTACGTTAGGTACTCTATCGCAGGACAAACTTATCAAACATGGTAACATTTCCTTAGAAAACTTCTCTCCCGTGATCGCGTCGTTGCGGATCATGTGGGCGCACACGAGCGCATAAGTTTGCCGGTGTATCCACTTTTTAGCGTCTAGCACTAGAGTCTCTCGAAGTTCGTGAATAAGGGATGTTACCAAAGCGTCCTCGGTGGACAAGTAGCACATTATTCGCGTAATCTGAAGAAATTAAATTTTAAACTTGTAAACGGGACAATTATTAAAATACACTGTACGCAACAAGACGTATATACAATTTATCCAAATATCTTACCAGTTCAAGCGCAATGGTTCTAACGGCGGCAACCTTATCTACAAGCAGTTGGAAAGATAGCGGCGCGATACTCTGGGCCACGTCGCTCGGACTGAACAGGCCCACAATCTCGAGCAATTGCGTGGCCAGTTCCTCCCTAAACCTCCAGTTCCATTCGTTATCCGTGGCGAGGAAATCGCTTAGCCTTGGTAGATATTGACAGCGGTCGGTGGGTTTGAGTATTTTCAAAAAGGTCGCAAGATGCTTGAGCACACCTATTCTGACCTCGTCCAAATCCTTGATAAAACCGTCGTAGATTGGCACGAGGTCAGTGGCAGTGAGTTCTTCGCCCAAAATCATGGCAATCTCGTGAATGCTGGACGCGAGAGTACGCCTGACTTTCCAATGTTTCGCGCTCGATAACGACTGGTAAGCCTTTCTTAAGTAGTGCCAGTTCTCTTTGCCCAGCGTGAGCGCGACTGCGGGAAAACTGAAGGCACAATGATGCGGGATCTCAGCACCCATGTCCACGCATTGCTCCGGATCGGCCATCGATACGTAATAATTGATTAATTCCTGAGGTACGATCTCTTGTCCATTGCAGTTCTCATCGCTCTTGTCTACGAAAGCTGTGCATAAATACTTTCTCGTACAATCTTGGGTGCAATTTAGGGTGTCGTCCAACGAATCCATCTTCGTACAGATTGAGGACACGTCGGAATCTTCGTCGTCATCGTCATCTTCCTTTTGTTCGTAGAATTTATCCATGTTTGAATCATCCTCATTCGAATTTACGACGGGAATTGGAATTTCAGAAGAGCAGGACGAGCTATTTTCCTCGGTCGCCTTCTGGCTGTTATTACGATTCATCGCCGACTGCCTCGCAGCATAAATAAGTTCATCGTCCAGCGGTGTATCCGGAGGTATATAATAATACAAAAATGGATTATATTTCTCCGAATCATTCGTCTGATTCTTGAGGACGAGTTTGCGCAAGGCCTGGAAATCAAATGGGAAATAACTTAATTTAATATAATAATTTTAATAAAGAGTTATAAAAGGATTAATATGATATAAACGCCAATACAATCCGATTAGGATGGTATTGGCGTTACATAGCCAGCCCAATGGTTTAGTGTGTGTGTGTGTGTGTGTGAACTTTATATACATTGTTTCCAACGCATCCTGCGCGCCCGATTTCTCTCGTTATTTACACATAATTTCTTTGATGGAATAGTAAAATTCACATTTTTGAAGTGACAAACGATTTAAATGTTTCATGTTAATAAGCGTCCTATATACTCTCCTTCCTCCCATTGTTATTGTAAAGAATTTGTTGAAAGAAAAATATTACCTCATTGAGGAATTGAACTCTGATCTCGTTCATATTAGGCGGACGCCTCTATAATAATTTTATTATTTTAGTTTTAAGATTCCTGCTGTAAATTGTCCTTGTTTGATAACGTTAGAAGCGAGAAATGAAGAATTCATGTCATCAAACAAGGACTGCAAGTAACCTTAAAGAGCATACATGAATTCATAAGACCAACTTTTGTAGAATTATAACACAAATGATTTTTGTCAATAACATATCATGAAAGGAAATGAATTCATGGAAGAAAATCTATTCTTTGTGATTTGTAAGATTAAAGAAAGATGGATTTAAAGTAAAAAATAAAATTTTAGACCTTGACTTTTTCGCTCTCGACATCAGTGGTAACGATTTCCGAATGGAAATATCGGCGCTACAACATAATTTCTGTTATATTCTTCATAAGACGAATTTTAAGAAATCTTAAGGTGATGTGAACATACTTTATATACGCAGATCTCAGTCATTTGGTCATCATCCCCTTCCGAGGAATCCGAAGATACTTCAACGCTATCATGTCTCACATTCATCATAGGCAGATAAAAGGACTTCTCGTCCATATCTGGTATTTGACTTTTGATCGCGCCCTTCGTGGGGAAGATTCCTTCGTAAGAGTAACGTATGCTGGAAAAACGCATTGAATTTCGATGGTGAATGTGAAGACGAATTGCGACGGCAAAAGGAAAAGATATGCCACTATACCTGGGGTGATTATCCTGCTTACTGGTATACACTAACTCGCCATTCTTATTGTAAGTGACGTCTGCGAACTGCTTGGCGAAGGTGGATATGAACGGTCCGAGTATCTGAAAAGCCGATATTCGCACCCACTTGGAGTCGTCGTTCAAGTGCTTGGCCAGTATGTCCGCAAGCAACAATCGGCGGTGCTCGGGCGTCAAACAGCAGGAGACCGGCATCATAACCTCCACGCACGCTTTTCGCACGTTCCACACTCTGTCGCCGCACAGATCAACAAACGTAGGAATCTAGAAGCAATCCGAATATCATCGGTAAACTACTGGATACGATAAATTTCCTATCTACGAATAAGACTTACCAGCTTGCTGAACAATTTTTCCTTTCCTACAGCGGTGCACATCTCGCCAAAGTGAGTAGCGCAGATTCTCCTCACCATCATGTCGATGTCCTCGCACAGGTCTAGGTATCGCGCCAGAAAGACCTTCTCTGTAAGTTCGCTACCAATCAGCGGTGCCAGTCTACACATGAGCTGCGAATTGATATAGAATATGGAACGTTGGGAAAATGTATGAGCTTGTTGTGAGAAATTTTACGTAAATGGATACGCTTAAGTATACTTGTCGACTTAATTCAAGTGTACAATTACAACCAACGATAAAAATCTTTTTTAACACCAAGTAATATTTATCACCAGGTGACACACATCGCTCCGTTCCGCTCATCAAAGCTGGCTGTGATATGAATCAATAGCACCACATCACAACCACTCTGATGGGAGGAACAGTCGATTTTATGATTGAATAAAGCCTTCCGTGAGAGACGCGCACTAGTTAATGGATTAGCGCTTATTGTACACACCACATTTATGCTACATACAAAATGACGTATCTCGATCTCGATGGAGATAAAAAGATTTATCTCAATTATTACAAACAAGTTGCATAATCGCATTTCAATAATTAAATTGCGCGAAACGTATTTGCGATCGAACACGTCGAGCGTATTTACGTGAAAAATTAAACAGCATGAAATAATTATTTCCATTTTTTAACAATGCAAATATATCCTCCTTAATTTCACCTTTCTTCCCGATCAACTGTAGCTCAGTTTCTACATGTCGAGATATAAGAAAGTTTCTTCCACACTCGCTGAATTGTCAGTGCCGCAACGCTCATCAAAGCTGGCTGTGATATGAGCATCGTTACATCAGCATATTACAACCACTTTGTGAGCAACGCGAGCACGCTTCTCTTCCTTGCGGCCGATCTTCTCTCGTTCACATTGCGTCCTTCCGCCTGCTTTCGCGCGGAGATGGCGATGCGTAAAACGGCGATCCAAATCGTCAAAAATGGCTGTGATATGAAATTCAGAGGAGCAACACGCCACAACCAATTTGACGATTGGATCGCGTTCCTTCCTGCACATGGCGACTCTCAGACCGCAATCTCTCGTGAAATTTGACACGAAACGGTCATCTTCCGGTAGACCTCTCGGTTGATCCCTCTGTTATTCGTGCTGCCTGTTCCCAAGTGCGTCGCATATGTTATCGGTTCAACAGGTACACGCATCGACGGAAAGCCGGAATCTTCTCGACGATCGATTCTGCGGGCCAGCTCATCAAAATGGCTGTGATATGACTCGAAACATTGCACAACCAATTTGATGTATCGGACCGCAAAAGGTATAGCCCCGTTCACGATGCTTCAACGGTGATGCTTCTTTGACGTGCCAGCTCTCTTCGCGTCTCTCTTCCCGCTGCTTCCCTCCCGTTCCGCCTCACTCGAGAGCTTCCTCATTTCTTCCCCTTCGTCCTCCAAATCGCCGGAGCGCGTTGAAAACGGACACAATTTTGATCATCAAAGCTGGCTGTGATAGTCGAACTCTATGACAAACCAACTTTGATGGTAAAAGTGTGCCCCGCCTGTCTTTTCGATCTGGACGCCAGTATTTGCGTTTCCCATGGCACGCCAACGCCCCACGCTCCTCTCGCCGCCAGTTCTTCCAGCTCTCTTCTCTCCTCCTCCTAGTTATGGAAATCTTGGAGCGATAATGGCTAAATAATTCCTCGCTTCTTTAATCTTGCTCCTAAAGCGCCTTTACCCCGTCCTCTTGCCAAACTCTTCTCTCTTTCTCACCGTATTTCTACCCTCCTTATCTTCCTATCGCCGTATGTCTGCTTCGATTTGACGTTTCAAGGGCTCATTTTTCTGCCGGCGCGGGACAGAATCGCGTATAATCTTCACCGCATAATTATCGCACACTCTCGACATCGCCGGAAACGAACGCCGCATGAAAGACAAGATAGTGAGACGCGATAGCGTAAGAACATCTCACTACCCATGTCTTTCAGGAGGAATCCGTGAATACGGGGGGCCGATAGTCTTTCGATCTCGCACGCCGAGTAACGCGACCGCCGCGAGTGTGTACGCTTAAATCTAAGATTCCGAGATTCCTCTCGCGCGCAGCGGCGAAAATTCGACATAAGACAGGCTGTACGGAAGAATAAGAGAAGATCGCGTGAGCAATTGTATCTATTAACGTGTTGTTTTTGCACGACTGTCCATTCAGGCCGCGTGTACCACTGACAATCATGCGACAACTTCATACTCGAGACAACAGACGTCCTAAAAGTTTCAGGCATGGTCGTGTCAAGAATATCAACCGAGGGGTAAACCGTTGAGGGCATTGCGGCATTACTAGGCATTTTTTGGGCATTAGACCTTGCTGGGGCATTCTAAAGATAAAATAGGATGATAAGATTAAGTAATGTCCACTAATAGACATTGGTGTACATCATTTTGGGTGGTTTACCCCTCGATATCAACTTACAGATATACGGAATTTTCTTTTGAAATTTATCCTGAAAATTATGCAATCGTGGGACATGACATTTCAAGGAATTTTATGACATTTTTTGAAATTTTACCATACAATTCACTAGTAATTATATTTAGTGTACATTTTACTAGTAAATGGTAATGGTAAAATTAAAAAAAAGCCTTCAAAGCCTTCAAAATGCCACGTTGTCTTACGATAATATGATTTTCAGGAAAAAATGTTAAGAGAAAATTCTCTCCGTGTATTGAAAATAACAGGAAAAGATCCCCTTTTTCGTCCATTCTTATCTACACACGACCTGCGTGGAAAGTAACAGACGAAAATGTTGGTTTAATTCGGTCTTGCATAATAATTTTCTCGGATCATTAATTTTTATAATCCTTCATACGCAGCTTCTCTTTAAGACGACAATGTAAACCGAGTACGCTTCGCACAGCCTCTTTCATGTCGAGTCTTCGATTGTCTTTCTCGCTGGATGAGAAGGTAGGCGAATGAAGCGCCCGGGAAACTTACGGAGATGTTCGCGTTTCGGACATGCTCGTCGGCCATCATGCAGAACAGCAGACTTTCCATCGTGGGGCAGATAACATTCTCGATCGCATCGTTATCAAGGAGGCCCCGTTTCACCAGCGTCGTCAGCGCGCTTTGGGCCATTTGCCGTACCTGCGGAGCAAAAACGTCTCATAATATTTACATCGTCAGTGAGACACTTGCGGTTTTTGCCCTCGGGAATTGGCCGAAAGCACGGCACGGGCACATGATCACTTACCTGATTGTCTATGTCGCTCAGGTATTTCATCACGATGTCGAGCAGGTGATTGCGGAGGACGTCGCCGAAGAGATGGGGCGCCTCGTGGCAGATGATCGCCACGTTCGGGATCTGCTCCACCAGGTCCGACCGCACCAAGGCATCTGTGAGCAAAAAACCGTACGTTAGCACGACCTAGCAAGAACATGTCACAATGATATTTGTTTTCAGCTCGATTTCCAACAGTGCTGGGAAGCTTCGCGAGGACTCGGGATAATCTTCACTCGAATAACATGTTTTGAAAATGGGTAACCGACACGATTTATTTTCCTAAAGCGAACGGTCGAAGAATGTCGTGGACACGTAAGAAATATATTCGTCTCGTCGACAACTTTCGAGTGAGATCCGCCATCGGGAGCGTTTTCGCGTCTCGTGGACCGCAGAAGAATCGAGCCGCGAGAATTAATAAACGCGTGTTAATTTTAATTACTGGGTTAGATCGATAGGTGCAAATCTAACAATAAGTTCTGAAAGTAATCTGGTACGGTCAAAAATCTATAACTGGGTGTACATTTGCGAACGAACAGCGAACGCGAACGTTCGGAGATTCTGAATTCCTTTTCTTCTGGATGTGGATCATGAGGGAATCAAGCCGAACGCGAATCGAACGTTCTGTTCGCATTTGCTTCGGCGTATACATCATGTCCGAATGATGACAACGAATGTTCGCTGTTTGTTCGTATAATAGATGAATGCCCAGCTTATTTCAGCAGAGCGGTGAATTAAACTTTATAAGAAATCCAACGTGGGCAGAGAGAGTTGGTTAACATAGTGCTCGAAAATGTTAGTTTCATTCGGTTTTACTTTTATCATTATTTTCTCAGATAATTGATCTTTGCATGATCTTTGTATACATATATCTCGATTATTTATTAAAGATTAAGTCTTGTTTTTTTATATTACCTAGGCGTCATGTTGAAACCACGCATTAGCGCTTTTCCCTCGAGCTCGAGTCACGTGAGAGGAAACTTGGAATAAGAAAGCTCTCGGGCGACGTAGCCACAGGTACTGCACGCGTAGGTACTAATGTGTGGTGCGAAAACTTTGACTCTCGAAAAATTGAAATGGAAGGGGATGCTGAAAGCGGGGGTGCCACAGCCTATGGCGGGCCTTACGACAGGGGGAAAGTCTAACCCGGGAGAAGGAATGGGAAAGGGAAAGGAATAAAGGAAGAAGGGAGACAGAGACAGAGGCAGGGGGAGAGGAAATGACGTACGCGCCCCCTCCATCGTGAGGCCCGTCATCCCTACATCTTGACCTTGGACTTGGCATTTCTTGTTCGATTTTTTCCCAACTCTTCACAAAAGCTGCAGGTATTTTAACGGCCCTTTATAGTGAACCTTCCTATTTTTCACTTCTACGAACTAAAATGCCATTAATCATCAGAAATCTATTTTCCTTTCCAGTCCCTTTTGACCCGAAACAGACATTTTGCCGATTCCAGGTCTTGGAAATATCCCGCTGCGACAGTGTTTAGCTAGTGCCTAGAGTGATAAAGGAGCGTGTTGACCAAAGTCAGCAAGTAGTATGTAAATGTAAATCTATTTTTATCATTAACGTTACATTTTATTGAAAATAGTAACTCCGCGAGAAACTTATCGCTAATAAGTGAAGGAATTTCCCGAGAAAAAAGATGTCAGTTACCCCGTAGTAATGGCGGCTTACATCTTGAAAGGCTTAACCGTCTATATATTGTAATAAACAGGGTTGGGAAGTAAAGCCAACAACAAATTTTATATATTTTTTAAACCCCCAAATTGCATTAGGCCTTGCATTTGCGCATAAACGCGTTTATCGACGCTTTACAATTCAAATGCAGATTTGATATTTTTATTTTCATTGCAAGAAAGTAAGTGCAAAGTAGCGATTCGTTACTTTTTGAGTAACTGCAACTGCAACGCGTTACTTTTCAGAATTGGTAACTGATATTTTTAGCGAAAAAACTGTAACTGTAAGTAGATACTTTGATAAAGTAACTTTCCCAACCCTGTTAATAAATATATAGACTCTGCGAGACTGACATAATTTCGTCAGTTCATAAGGTCGTTTATAAGATACGCAAAAGGATTGCATTTCGATCGTATTCATTTTGCGTGCCCGTAAATGGTGGCACGTGTTCACGGAGCAAGGATCGAGATCGCCTTCGCGCGTTTGCGATTGGAACGCGCCCTTCTATACAGCTCAGCTCCCCGCTAGTTTCCAACTATGAGGTCAATGGCCTGTCAAAATCAGGGAAAGTTCGACGACCGAGCAAAGCCAAAAATACGTAAACGCCAAATGGAGAGCCCGTGTGTCGCGTGCCCTAGCAGCTCTGAACCGGTGCTGCCGCACGTACATCCGCGGCCCCCCTTCCGCATGTCGCCCCACGGAAAAACACCGATGGTGGCACGTGTTCACGGGGCAAGATGTTTCGCGATTTGCCCCTAAAAATAGCCGGTCAGGACACCGCCACCATTGGAGCGCTGCATAGCACGTCGGGACACCCATCGCATCATCGTGCCCTCGTAGGGCACCCTCGTGTCCTCCTTAACGCCCTCTCTTCCATCCCCCGACTGATCCTACAGATTACATTTCAAGCCCATTTCTTTCCTCTCCCAGACACCGCAGGGGACGATTGTTCGTTGCAAATATAAAAATTTTCATGTTCGGATATTTCTACGATCAAACGTCACATTTTCCATTGTAGTGATATCTAATTACTGTAATAAGCTCGTAACTTTTATATTGTCAAGGTACTCCCAATTTTATTCAACGATCCCGTAAATATCACGTTTTGTCACAAACATATACGAATAAAACATACAACTGTTGGTTTTATTAATCTACTTTTTATATTCTACATATTTAATTTAGAACCTGAGTATTTACGACGTACTGTTTATAATAATATTCGAGCACACATTGTGAATATGCAAATATCGGATTCTATAAACGTGATTAATTTGTCGTTTTACACCCCACAATTTGCCTTCTTCTACAGTGTCTTTCTTAAAATAAATAGTTGTAATTTTCATTTTGTCTCCTTAAATGAGATAGAAATAATTATCGGCGATTAATCTTAATATATTGAATTCGCGATATTGTCATTCATAATAAATGTAATGCAAAAATATAACCTAACCAAGAAACTCACGAAATATATTTGAAGGGAGTATTCATGAAAAAACGAAACATCCCTGAGGAATGGCCGGAATTCGAAACGTTTTCAGATAAAGAAATATATCTTTGATGCGCATCTGAAGGTTTGGAAGCAGGTAAAGGTTTTTCGACAAAGAATGTATTCGAAAGAGCATTTTTGTCTGCTGTTCTTACTTATCCACACGAGATCTCGAAGCAATATCACACTAGCCAAGCCACTTAGGCCAGTTTCTGCATCTTATAAAGACAAAAATTCTGCATCAAACGATTTTTCCTTTTCTTATCAATAATCCTCTTGTTCCCCTAAAGCCCGTGTCACACTACGAATTCCGTTTGCGATGCGTGCGCTTACTCGTTATTATGTTTAAGTTACAAAATTATAATCAATACTTTGAATAATGGTTGAGAACGAATCGTGTGAGAGATGACGCTTTGGACCGATTGCACGAGCTAGTTAGCTTGGCTACAGCAGACAACCGGTTAATAATACTCGCCCACCCATAAAAATGGATCACGTGATTCATTGGCTGGAATCGCGGATCGTACAAGTAGACAGCCATCTATTCTGTGATCTGCAATCCGTAATCCCAATCCAATCCGCAATACGTAGTGTGACACGAGCTTAACAGTCCGTCTGTCGAGAAGCGTGACATTCAGCCAATCTTTAATTGCTCATTGAAATTTTAACTTAAGTATCTTCATTGCGCGTTCAACGCCAAATTATCTTATTTTATCTTTACAATGCCCCAGCAAGGCCTAATGCCCAAACGAATGCTCAAAAAATGTCTAACAATGTGGGCCATGATGCGCTGTTTCGCGATTGACAGAAAAGGCAGCGCACCGATGCGACAGACAGAAGAGTTAAAGATAGAGGAGATGATGTAACAACAGAGAGAAATAAAGAGCTTTGTAACGTGGACAAAATTTCTCGAAATAATAACCGAAAAAAGGCCAACAGTAATGTCTAGTAATGCCACAAATCTGTCCACCACAATGCCCTCAGCGGTTTACCCCTCGAACAACAGTATGTGAACTGAACGTTTTATGTTAAATATGCTTATCAAATTTAACATTAGTTTCTCTAACCAGACAATTTAAAGAGCTTTGCAGTTTGTTTTATTCGTTCAAAATTTTGGTAACTATCGAATTCCATCAGTCTAGATACTTGTCGTGCAAATCATTCTCTCCTTCTTCCAAATTAATGGCCGTTTTTCTCAGGTTCAGAATCGAAAATAAATATACACGAACGAATCGATGCGATCACGAAATAATGCGCCCACCGGATCGATGGATCGGCCGCGCGTCTCGGATATCAAGAGGATGCCAGAAGGATACGCCTGTGAATCCTGGTACCAGCATGCGCCCCGGCTTTTAGGCAAGATTTCTTCGTGGACGAAGACGGCGATGTTTAAATTAAGAACGAAGTGGGTTTACGTTTGAGAGACCGGGGGCTGTGCCCTCTCGTATAAATATCGCGGCGGCTTAATGCCGTATCCTCGAATCCACGAGCGACTTCCGGCACCGCGCGGCGCGTGCCATACCGGAAGCGGCGAGGGCACGCCGTCGTCGTCTCTCGTCGTTGCCTTTAACGACAACGCTTACTTTTCGCCGCCACCATCTTGTTCTTCTCCTTCGACCCCAACGAAAAACGACCCGTGCCCCGTCTTCTCCCCCGTCCAACAGCCCCGATACAGCCGGTTGCTGATATTTATACGTTTCCTGTAGCAACACGTTACTTAAGCGGCCTCCCTTTCCCGCACTCTTCCACGTTTAAGGCGACATTTTGTAGCGAAACACAAGACTAATATTATATTTGTCGTACGACAAATGTAATACCAGCCTTATTCACGAGCTTTGACGCCCGTAGTTAAATAGACGTGTATTTTTTTTACATTTCGCGGTTCGATCCCGGCCCTCGTCCCACATATTTTCCCCATTATTCCGAAGGGAAATTCCACGAGTTATTATTAAACCCATAGTGGAGCAATAATATGTGAAATTTTATCAAGACCACGCTAATTAAGGACACAGGACAATACGGAAATTTCAACAGCCCGGACGGCAATTTCCCTATAGGTTTTGTTTCTTCCGTTTTTCCGTTCATTATGTTTTCTGTAATTAAGACAACCGATTATATATTATTAAATATATGTATTATTAAATATGACATGTAATCCTAATTCTTCTTTTTAGCCTAGAAACTTGCTAATGTTTCCACTTTTTGAAAAGATACGACCGACTTTTCGTAATATAATAAAATCTATTGTACAAAACGTGAAAATTCAGCTTAACAGACCTCCAGACATTCCTACGACCGACTACCCTTTATACATTTTTTAAATTTCGGTCAGGGGTGCGTTGATATTGCTAATATTAGTTTCTCGTGTCGGTACGAGATTACTTAAATAAAGTCTGTTCAAAGAAAGTTCAATTTCTAGCCAAGTGGACGGCATCATTTTAATAAGAAAAGGGAGAATTACGTAATCGATGCTGTGCTTGCAGTTTTTGCAAAATATTGGTCACGAGCTTAGCAGCAGAGAATAAAAGTATACGCTGTATAATTTTGGTAGCAACGAGAGAGCGTCTAACGGCCTCGACCACGCTGCTAGAGACAAATTTCAGAAACTTTTTGCACATCCCCGATAGTATCATGAATATCGTGGAAATCGATATGTTTCGCCAACTACCGAATAAATATACTGTTCTCTCTTTCGTTTAATATTGCTCATGGGGAAACTATTATTTTCCAAGCGCATAATAATTCTGTAGTTTTAGTCAATAAATTGCGTCAATTATGTAAGCAAGTATTGAACCTGCAAGACAAGCGACAAAGATGCAAAATAAAAAGCGTAAGCTGTACAACGAAATAATTGAGAAAATACATTGATTACAAGGTGAAAATTTCAGTAACCGGTCACCATCTTTGCCTCGACATGCGTGAGTGGTGCGAAGGATTTGTCTCAGAAATGAACATTTTCAATCCTTCCACATCAAACGTCTACAAAGGTGCAGAAAAATGTACGGCAATGAATTTTTTGCATTTTATCATTGCTCTTGTTACAGCGTATAAAAGATTAAGGAAAAAAAGCTAAAGTTTGCGTCACTCTTGCCATTGCATTTAGAAGCGGTATTGTATAACAAAGCAGGGAAATTGGAGACCTGTGGCGTTTAACATAAAAAAAGGGGGGAAAAAGCATTTTTGAGTACGTCAGAGGATGTGCAAGGATACCACAAGGAAATAAGCATATAGCAAAGCTGTTTGGTCGAAATGTCTTTTAGCTATTTTTTGCAGATTAATAGTTTTATAGAAGCTACAATATTTGAAAGACGTTGCTGCCAACGTCATTAATTGCCCAAGCAATTTAAAAAAGGCGCACTTCAAGATCAGCGTTTTAGCTACTTACCGCTATCATCGATAACAAGTTGAACATGCTGCATGACCTCCTCGACAATTAGCGTTATTTTGTTGTTGGCCGCTGCGCGAAACATCTCCATCAATATACGCCCAACCATTTGCCTGCAACAGAAACGAGGACGGTGGTGTTAGATGACGGTCGGGTGTAATATTATAACAATGAGATATATTCAACTAATAAAAATATTCCTAAATGTCGCCAGCAGTAATATTAACAACGTCAGTGTTTACTTGACCATACACACCTGACAGCTGTAATAATACAGAAAACTTGTTGCGAAAAATATTACCTCAGCCATGGCATAAAATCCAATTGAGCAAAGAAAAATAGTTATATTCTATTTTATCAAGGTATCGTGTACAAATTGGAGACGCAATTTACAGGAGCAATTCGTCTCCACTATGACTGGAAATGTTGCTGTTAAATTGCTAAGAAGAAAAAGCAAGAATTAGTTTCTTGTACTTGAAATTAACAATAAATTGAAGGCAATGAGAGTGTGGACACGCGGTTGATACACGAGTACTTAGTATTTCCTTTTGTACTTCTGTTACACCTGTCTTGATGCTCATAAAAATTTCGATGAGCTCGGCTCGATAATTAAATACATAAATATAAGTATGATTTAACCAGGCATCTGTTCAAACTCCGGGCCCGAAAGAAGAAGACGGAGAGATCCGCCAAGATATCCAAGTAAGATACTGAGAAGCAACACGTGTCCATCTTAACGACCGTACGCTTGACACACCTAACGTCCAAGTGTTAAGAGGAAAATATAATAAGAGCAAACGCCGCGGATTCCAAGACGGCCGCGATTATCTTCATCAATTATTCATACTCGTTGTCCACGGATTTCGGCGTGTTCGGCTCCGTGAAATTCCAGCGAGCTCGAATAAGGTTCGATAATTAAATACATAAACCGAGTTAGGCTTCGGCGCGGTTATCTCGCCAAAGCTGCGGGCCGCGAAAGAAGAAGACGAAGAAGCAGAGGAAGAAAACGGCGAGTATCGAGGCAAACAGGCATCGGGACAAGTACGACAAGGAAAACGAGACGACGTTCGCGGGCAGCGCGCACCATCATCATCATCGCCAGGCCATGAAGGCGGCGGCGGCCGCCCTCCGTGGCGAGTGGAATCGAAGACGAAGAGCAGGAAGTGGAAGACGAAGTATCGCCGCCGTGTAGTTCGATCACGTCGACCACCCTTTCCCACCCGTGCACCTCCCGCGTGCCCTTTCCCGCCCGGTGTGACTTCGCCCCACCGCGGCGCCGGGGGACCCTCCCCTCTCGCAAGGGAGATGCGAGAATGCGCGCGAGTGGGACCGAGCGGTGGTGCAGCGGATGAGGTGGGGCGAGCGGCGGCGGAGCGTTGGCGGTGGTGGAGGCGACACCAACGGAACACCGCCGGCGGTGCCCCACCAAGCGCACGAGCGGCGCATCGCCGAGTGGGGTAGAAGCGTTCTCCAAAGTAGTTGGAGAACGGTCGGCCGAGCGGTACCGCCCGTGAACGCCTACCGTGCTGGCGCAAACATGGCCGCCGACCGCGGCGGCGATGACGGCGGTCGCGGCGACGACGACGACGACGACGACGATGTCGACGACGCCGCCGCCGCCGCCGCCGCCGCCGACGACGATGACGACGACGACGACGACGACGAGGAAGAACGAAGACGGTCTTCCCTGTGGAATTTTCGGGAGTAGACGCGCGGGCGCTCGGGCGCGCGCGCGCGGAAATCCCTCTCCCCCGGACCCGGTGCGTGCCCTGCTGCTGGGCGCCCTCTACCCACCTGTGTCCCGTAGGGCGACGACTTAAGTACGTTTCGCGCGGACCCAGACACCCCCTGGCCCAAAATTCAAGTACGGGCGCCGACACTTCCCCACGGCCTACCCACGCGCATGATCGCCGTAGTTCGCCAAGATCGATAAAGAACACGGCGTTTTCTTCCTCCCCGTTGCTCTCGCGCGCGCGAGTTACGTTGTAGATTCGTACATGCGTGTATATGTATTCACGAATATACATGTATATATGTATATGTGCATAAGGGAGGATTGATTTTAGGTATTGTCATGCTTGACGCGGACTCTCTTTCCGTGGTATCCTGGTATCGATAAGTTGTACGTCACGGGACCGCAAGGGTAAGAAACTTGGACACTTCGGAAATGCGAATTCATACACTTCGAGGACGGAGTCCTTACTTCGGAGATTGTAAGTTTGCCGACAAAGGAGTTGTTCTTTTTTACTCCAGTTTTGCTGATTAATCTTTCGATTAACGAGCAGTCGATAAAACTACCCCAAAATGGTATTTCACAATCTTTGAAATAATTCGGGACGTACTGTTAATCTTTACATTTGCACTCGCCGAGAGAGATAAAAATTATTGTATCAAGATTAAGGCACGATGCCAAAAATTCTGTAATAATTTTATTACACTCTAGTATAAAATGGAGTAAAGGTAAATGCCAATTTTTCAATAATAGAGTTCCATATGTAGGGTCACCATTTGTAGTTAATGTCGTGCAAGTGTCTTCAGTGACCAATCTCTTGATTAAAAAAAAAAAGATCTACAATTAATTTTATGCTGAAATTAAAAATACTCTTGATCCACTGAACAATCTAAAATAATCTTTGCCTTATTCTTAATTGCGACTTCCTTCGATTTGAAAAAATAACTCTGAGAAATTGATTTTCTTCCAAGGAAAACGCAATATCCGGCAAAAGAAAGCAATCATTTCTTTTTCCGCTGAAAGATCGTTTTACAGAAATAAAAAATAAAGAAAAAAGTATGTTTTAAGTGTCTCATTGTAAATCGAAACCCACTAAGACCTTTCAAAAAAAAGTCATTTACGGTCGCTTAGTCAAAAACTGACTTCCGTACATGTTGACCGGATACTCTTTTTGTGCTTTTGTAAATTTATTAGGCCCCTTCAACATCCATTTTCCGATAATCCTTTTCTCTCTCACTGTTCGAACTCAGATGCTTTGGCAGTCTATTGTCCAGAGACAAATGCGGAGGGTAAGAAAGCAAATACATGGAAAAATTCGAGTGCAAAAGGGTCGAAAATGGCTCGCAATTTACGAGTATCTCAAAAAAAGATACTTTAGTCATGCTAATAAAACGAATAAACGTTAATGTTGCGTGTAGAAAGAGGAAACACAACCTTCTTTCTGTACCTGAAGAGATCTGAAGAAATTCTCGGATAGGTTTAAACCGTCGATGTGAAATACTACCGATTATAACCACCTTCTATAAAATGTCTAAAGAATTTTAAGTAAAACCAGCGAGGGACGATGTATTGTATCGTGAGGACAGGAAATCTGTAAATAGGAAAATGGAAGCATCACATCTCTCGTTTGAGTAATGATTCCGACAAGGATGAATCTTCTTCACAATCGAAGAAAAGGGAGGGTTGTTATTGGCTAGACGTTACTGGCTAAGCGTTAATTTTCACAAAAAGGGTAGAATGAGTGACTGGTTCATAAAAAATAGAGGGAGACGCGCTCTTCCTCTTTTAAGATGAATGAATATTTTGTTGGTTCACGATCGTCTCCCCAGTTTTCCGAGTCTAGTTCCTCTTATGATCTCCGCATCGACATCTATCCTAGTATTTTTTCGAAAACATTTAGCCGGTTTAATGTTCGTAGACGACCCGAAAAGATGTTCAGTTTCCGACTAGCATAGGAAGCTGAGCAGGTATGCACGCGACGCGTGGAAGGATTTTTTTGGCCGACAAGACAGAGCGGTGGCCACGCGACAATCAAAACAGTTAGTTCACCCAGAGAGGATTTCTCTAATTGGAGTGCGATCGTTTGCCGATCAAAATTATTTTCATGTACCCGTAATAATCGGAACTGCCAAATAACGAACATAATACGCCCATTTGTCATCTATCAACAATACAAAAGAGTTTTCCTATTTCTGTAAAATTCTTGTCGAAGAAATTTAGATAATGATGAAATAGATTGGAATAAAAATGGAAAATTATTGCTACAAGTATTACTTAGAAATACCTTCGAAATTAAAATACGACATATTTCATGCCAAAATTATTGTATTTCAACTACTCATTCTTCTCTTACCTATATTGTTATATAATTTTCTTATCAGTATTGTTACACAATTTTCTTGACAATATGGTTAATGAGCAATTTTTTATTGCATCCATCATCCCCGCACAGTCAGCCCCTCTATTTAATAAATAGAAAATCTTGGTAATATAAATTTTTAACGACTTTTTTTGTTTAATTTACACCTAACATCTATTCTAATATGAGTACAAGGAAGTTGTGAGAAAAGGAGAAGAAGGAAAGAGATGGAAAACACTAACAGAGAGGAGGGGGAGGAGAGAGAGAGAGAGAGAGAATATTAACATTAGTTGACTTTTGCTCCAGTCTTTTCCGCGCGAGTTTTCGATACCGGAAAGAAGATTGAATGGTATGTCTTGAATATATCGAACGAGATATATACAATATACGCGGCGAAACTATGCGGCGGTCTTGTCCGATGGGCATCAGGTCGATCGGACGGACATGCGATTCGCGGGCGACCAGTTTTGCGGAGCCGTTCAACGCGGCTTTCCGTCTCCTCCTTTCACCCGCGCGGAGACCTTAAGGAAAAAGAGAAGGAAGAAGATGATGATGAAGAAGAAGAAGAGAAAACAAGAGAGAGAGAGAGAGAGAGAGAAGGAGAGCGAGAAAGAGAGAGAGAGAGACGTCTCGAGTCTGGTAGCGGAGTCTCCGTGCTACGAAGGGGCTATAGAGAGAAGGAATGTTGTTGTTGTGCCGGGAAGCGTTTGCACCGGCGGAGGGGAGCGGTGGGGTGAAACGCGGTGGTATGACCGGCGGCGTGGAAGAACCCGATGCGAGGAAAGAGAGAGAGAGAAAGAGAGAGAGAGAGAGAGAGAGAGAGAGAGAGAGAGAGAGAGAGAGAGAGAGAGAGAGAGAGAGAGAGGAGGAGAGAGAAGAGAGAAAGAGAGGGAGAGAGAGGGAGAGAGGAGAGAGGGCGGGGGGAGGGAGAGAAGTGGAAGAGGAAGAGGGGAGCGGCGCGCGGGCGGAAGCACTGGGGGGGAGGCGGAGACAATGCACCTCGGGGGAATGCAACGCGCG